TTTGATGCTTACAGGTTTCTTGGTTACCTGTGTGGTAGGTAACCAAGGTTACAGAGTTTCCCCTGGCCCCTGTAACCTCTATAAGTCAGTAAGAGAATAGAATAGCTGCCAGTATGCCACTATAAGGCATCTCCAGGCCTATTCTCACCCTGGAACCTGTCATTGTTAATGCATTTTGGGCTGGGTGCGGTGGCTCACACCTGTAATCCCAACTCTTTGGGAGGCCAAGGCGGGTAGATCAGAAGGTCCAGAGATGGAGACCATCCTGGCCAACATGGTGAAACCCCGTCTCTACTGAAAATATAAAAATTGGCCAGGTGTGGTGGCAGGTACCTGTAGTCCCAGCTACTAGGGAGGCTGAGGCAGGAGAATCGCTTGAACCGGGGAGGAGGAGGTTGCAGTGAGCTGAGATCATACTACTGTACTCCAGTCTGGGAGACAGAGCGAGACTCGGTCTCAAAAAAATAAACGAAAATAAATAATAAACTCCTGCATTTCTAGTTTCTCATTCCCCACAGAGTTGAAGACAGCCAGGCAGGCAAGGTAAAGGCACATCAGGCACTGTCCGAGGCACTGTGAGGGATGTTTCTTCTATTGCTTTTGTTTGCCCAACATTCCTTGAATTCCCACTCCCAGACACAGCACTGCCTTTTCCATGGTTCTGGTGGGGCTACAGACCTGAACAATTAGAGAAACATCCCTCTGGCCATAATGACTATCGTAGGAGAGAGCTTAGGATCAAGCAGAACCAATTAGAGTTCCTTCCTGGGGCTTTATGGATAAGAGCTAGAGAAAGAAGTTCTATCCCTGGATTTCCCAGTGACATGAGCTAAGGCATTTGCACTTTGTTCAGGTTAGTTTACGTTCCGTTACCCTCACTTGCAACCAAAAGAACTGAGACTCATGCAGGTACCTGCACACCTTTTCTTACTTCATCTAACAACTTTATAAGGTTGCCATTACTCACTCTATTTCAGACTGAATAGAGTGAGTAAATAAGGTAACCGAAATTAAGTAACTTCCCTGAGTTCATAGAGCAGGTAAGAGGCATTCAAATCCAAGTCTTTCTGCCTCAAGTTCCATTCGATATGCAGAATTAACTCAAGAAGAAGAAACTCACCACCATTCAGAAACCAAGGGAATTCTGGTTTAAAAATTATCTGAGGATGTAGGGGGGAGGGAGAGAGCAGCATTAAACCACGCCAAAGGACCTGGCTTCTACTCTGGCTCTGTCCTATGACCTCAACTGCCATGACTTTGGGCAAGTCCTTTTATTTATTCGGGTGTTAGTTTTCTTACCTATTAACCAAATGAACTCAAGGTCCTTTCGAGTGCCTAAAATAAATAGGTCTGCTCTAAGCATACAGATTCTACTTTTACTATATGCCAAGCGGATTTCAACTTGAATTGGTAATGGCTCCTGGGGTACCATGTTGTAAAGGACTCTGAGCTATAGGGATCCACTAAGAAATTAGCATTGGCTTCCACTATCACAGGGAAGAAGAGAAAGTAACAGCTGCACACCTGCCGCACATCTGCCATCACTGAAAGAGTTTCACATTGACAAAGAAATGCCACTGTCTTTTACAAATGCGGACAGTACTTCTGCACCACCACTGATTCGTCAGCACCTGCACAGGACTTTCACGCGTTCCTCGTGCACTTAACTTGGCTCCCTTAATGAAGTGCAAGAAAGCTAAGTGGTTTGGAAAGCATAGCTTGGTGCCACTAAAGAAAACACGTCTAAATGGCCTCCATGAGGAGAGGCGAGGTAGTTTAGGGGAACAATAATAATCAGTCTGGTTCCTTAAAACATATACATAAAGACTATGCGAGCAGGGTGACTCACAACTACCCAACTCAGCTGGTGAGTTAAGTAGGGTATTATCATGTCCATTTTATAGAAATGGAAAATGAGAGTCAGACTTGCCCAAGTTCACCCATTTCTAAGTACAAGAAGCCAGATTTGAACCCAAGGCCCAGATCCCTTTCCAATCCCACAGTCCTCATTAGTCCCACACTTCAAATGAGTTAACTCATCAAATTCCCATTGTAGAGTGACATATTCATTATTATTTGGAGTTGTTCAAATAATATAAGTTCCTCTCCCAAATAATCTGAAAAGTTGTTACTCTCCATTTGTAATTTAATGGGTAGACATGCATTTGAGTATATATAAATTTAGCAAAACTGAGCATAAAAGTTAAATGTTTAAAAGAACGATGCAGAAGAAAGCCTGTTGGTGGGAGGTGGGGAGGAAGATTTAGTTTCAATGCAATTTTATTAAACTTAATATAGCCTTTATAACAATTCAGTGAGATGGAAATCCGGCACCAGGCATATATTTGAGGAATGGAATGTAAGAACAGAAACTGAGCCAGACAAAATGCATCCTAGAAGTGACAGCAAATGCTTCAAGGAAGGCACTTACTAACAGGCATACTATAACTTACTACATTTCCTTAGGTCTGACAATCAGGGCTAAATCTGAATCAGGATATGTGCACCAGACTTTTCTGTATAAGGAATCCAGGCCAAACAAAATAACACCAAACTTTTGACACATCTAACTGTAGTGAAAGCACAGGACATCCATCACTAGTTCTTCTAGTTAAACTTTCCACAAGAAAAGATGCGGAGTGGGAAACAGTTGCAAGTATAGAAGATAACACACAAAGCAATGACAACAGAAAATCAAAACTGCTTAAAAGAATATATGTTTCCTCTAGGTCAGGGGGACTGTGTCCCTGAACAACACAGCCCATATACTCACTTGAGGTGATGTGACACGTACCCACATCAATACATAGCAGAATTGGAAGTTTCACTGCCATGTGGTCCAACCCTGTGACACATGGACAAAGTTCTTCTCAAACATCTCTAAAAAGCAGTCATCACTCTGTTTAATGACTTCCAAAGACAGGGAACTCAGCACCTTAAGGGACTGTTGCTGTTACTATCTCTGAGGCCCATAAACTCAAATGCCTAAAACACATTTTCACCACTCAGGGAGAGGTGGAAGTGGTTACAGGACTCTCCAAAGGGCTTGCCAACCCAACTGTTGCCTCTTGCCTCTCCAATTCCCAAATCCCCCCTTTCCTTGAGCAGGACTCAAAATTAGCACAGTGCTAATAAATCAGTGGTTTCAGAGTTAGAAGGGGCCCTTCAAAAGACAATATTATACCACAGTTCTACAAAAGGAACCCCAGGAAGTGCTTGGGACAAACTGGGAGTATAGGGAGGGAGAATGTCCTGTTTCTCTTCCTCTCATTTCAACCTAGGTAGCTCTCACTTTGATGTGTTATATAGAGAGGATCAAGGTAGTTTTTTAAAAGGAGGAGGAGGAAAAAAAAGGATCATTCACAGGTAAATAAAATAAGGTCTTAAAACTTGCTTAATGAAATCATGTAGCTAATAGTTGCACCGTCAGACAACAACCTGGTCTCTTGGCTCGCTCCATCTTTGGTGCTTTCTCTATCATATAACATCTGCCCACCTACAAGGCCAAATTCAAACTCTGCAGTGATATACAAAGCCCTTCAAGATCTCCCCCTGCTGCCACTCTATTCCAATTTTTATGAGAAGTCCCACATTCCAGTCCCACTCAAATGTTTATGAACCAACTTATGTCAGACAATTACCTACCTCCAGACCTTAGCGCACACTATGCTCTTAGCCTGAGATGCCCTTCCCCACCTTGTCTGTACTGAAACCAACTAATCCTCTTTCAAGACTTGTTTGAAGCATCATCACCTCTATAAAGCCTTTTCTGATCCTCAGGTAGAACTGACCACATTCTTCTTTGTGCCCTACACAACACTTACAGGGCTTTACAGTACTTGTTTTATTTCTATGTCCGTATCCTCAACCACTCCTTTTACATCATGTTACTCTAACATGAGGCTGGTCAAAAGGTAAGTGCTTCATAGATGTTCATCAATGGGGTAAGTGTATTCATCTGGTCCAATCCCCTTTCTGAGGTTTAAGTATCCTCAGCTAACTGTCATTAATGCACGCATGCATACATTCATTCAAAAATATCTGAATGTCTATACAGTGCCAAGTGCATGCCAAGCAGAGGTAGATTTAGCGTGAAATTAATGAAGCTTAAGCTTCAGGGTCCCTCACTTCAAACTTCCAAAGCTCTCAACCTTTCTTGGCGGTTTTCTTCTTAAAAAGAGGAGACAGAATTATATAAGCTTTAGGCCCCACAAAAACTAGATCCCCACTTGGTGTCACATATACAATAGGGAACAAGACAAACATCTCTCCCGTTGTGCAGTTTTCTGCCTCGTGGTAAAGACAGCCATTTATTCATTCATTCATTCAACAGACATTTACTAAGCAATGCTGTATAAGTCATGCATTCTGAGATGAAAACAACACTGTCCCTTCCCTTAACGAAAAGGTTCCTAGTCCCAGGGAGATGAAGGAACACCTGCTCTGTCCAGGAAACAGAAAGTAGTTGAGATGACTTAACACTGTGAAAGATTATCCTAAACCTGTCTCAAGCGGAACTGAGTCCTACTTATTGCGAAGACAAAGTAAAGAAAGAGTTCGGTTTAATACGGTTTTAATCTCAACTGGGGGTGGGAGGCAGGCAAGCAAACAGAACAGGCAAATACAGTGTGGTCAGTGCTTCGACAGGAAGCGAAGGACTGTGAGGAAACTTCCCGAGTGCAAGTCTGTAATGACAGCGATCTCATGACCTCACAAAGCCGCCCATGCACTTTCCAGATAGAGATTTCTGAGCGTCTTCTTCTTCGCCCCCTAAACCCCGCCGCCGAAGGAGAAATCCGTTCCCCAATAATGCGTCCCCCTTCCTCAAAATAAGGCTGCTCCTTCCCCCAGAAGCTGTCGGCTGAGGCCAACTGTACTGTCCTCCTTGGGGCCACACTCTTTACACAATGCTTAAGGGACGAGGTCTGGTTTGGGGCCTGGGGTCCCTGTCGCAGGTCTGTCCCCTCCTCAAGCCGCCGTTTCCATAGCAACCAGCTTACCACTTCGCGGGCCCGGCTGGAGAAGTCGCCCTTGGGCCTGGGGCTCCGGCGGAACAGCTCATCCCGGCTGCCATCGACCCCGCCGCCCACCGCCACTCCCAGCGCCTTGTTCCGCGTCTTCACGGTCTTGACGCTGGCCCGGAATAGCAGCGTGATATCCACCGCCATAGCGACCCGCACCCGCAGCCCCAAACGGGACCCGCCCACGTCAGCAGCCAGCGACCGCGGCGCTAATCCGCCAGCTAGAGGACTGGTCCTACCCCGCACGCCTCCCCCCGGCAACGGTGGCGCGAGAAGAAAGGTTCCGGCCTGCGCCCGGCTACCGCGGCGGGAGGAAAAAGGTTCCGGCCTAAGCTGGCGCGCCTAGAGGAGGAGGGACCCGGCAACGTGCTCACGGGTAGTCCCTTCTCCAGGCAAAGCTTGGAGGGTTTAGCAGCACGGAGAGCTCTCCTATGTCTGTCTGGGGCTTGTGGGCTCCGGGAGCATAAAGACCGGAAAGCTGGGAAGTTCCTTCCCTTCTGGTGGCTCCCTCACTGAGCCCGGACGATTTGGTTGCGGGGGACGCGAAGGCGAGACCCCCTTGACCTTTGACTGCAAGGACTCACCCTGAGCATGTCAGAGGCACGTGGACGGTGACCCTCGGGGTGCAATAAGTGCTGGGACAGAGCAGGTGTGCAGGGCACAGAGCCAGAGGCCTTTGTTCTCCAGCCTTCCGCCACCTCTTCTGTAAAGGGAAGCCAGCATCCTCCTCGGAGTTTACTGTGAAAATTAAATGACCCGACGCGTGCTGTTTTGGTGTTTCTTGGCTCCCAGTAAGTGGCCAATAAATGGTAGTTATCGTTAATATGTTGTTATTATAATAATAAAAACATATTAATAAATGTTATTAATAAATATTATAATTAATAAATATTATTATAATCTTATTTGTGGTGAGAAAGAGGCTCTAGAGAGAAGGCGTCACCTGTGCAGAGATTTGAAGGATGAATAGGAACTTTAGATGGAGACAGAGGTGAAAGGGTGACCCTAATGCCGCTGGATTCTGTTCATCCTTCATGCATAGTTTTCAAATCTTGAGTCATAAACAATGACAAGTCAGTCAATGAGTTTCTTCTGCATTTTTTGGTTCATGGTTCTGGGGTGTGTGTGTGTGTGTTTAAGATGGGGGTCTCACTATGTTGCCCAGTGAGATTACAGTGGCTGTTCAAAGACGCCATCCTAGCTCACTACTCACTGGAACCCCAGGGCTCAAATGATCCTCCCCCGCTCCGCCTCCTGAGTGACGGGGACTTTGGGCATGTGCCACCTTGCCTGGCCTATGGTTCAGTGTTAAAACAAAATCTCAAGATTTTTTTTCATAAAGAGAATGCACAAGTAGAATATGTGTTAATGCAGTGGTTTAAATGGTCACCAATATAAAACTCTTTTCATAATACTAAGACGTTACTTGCCTTTTCACTCTCACTTCCTCATGAGTTGTATACACTTGAGTTTGTTAGAGACTGTGTGTGATATTGCAACGGAATGAATGCAGAACAGCTGTTTTCTATTAAGCCAGACTTTAAAAAAGGTTTTCAAAGACATAAAAAGTTTTGGTTTTAGTTTCTCATATAGTAAATGTTGATAATGTCAATATAAACAAAAATTGTTTACAGCCCTTAGCAATTTTTAAGTGTGCAAAAGAGTTGAGACCAAAAGTTTGAGAACCACTATGTTAAAGAAATAAAGTTGATCAGAAATAGATGTCAAGAAAGTATATATTTACCAGAAAGGAGGAAGAAAAAGATTATTTAAGCCCAAACTGTAGCCATTCCTTGCAGTTTAAGGAAAATACATTTCCATACAGCTTTCTTCCACCTACTGAGGAAAAGTGAAAGAAATCACAAAATCTCTGCCAATGATTCTATCTTGCACAAATGGCCCTTTGTTTAATCCAGACATTAATGAGTTTTTGGCTATGCAAAGTTAAGCCTGGGGCACAGTAGAAGGAAAGAGAGATTGCTCTGCATAATTAAGTGAGGGGGATTGAATTAGGGGGGAAAAAAGAGAAGCCAGAACCAAGGGAGGGGCCAGGAAAGTACAAAGTAGGTAACTGGAAAGGATTTTTGAGTGGGAGGGAGGCTGAACTATATCAAGACTTCAGTGAGTGGTGCCTTGTGTGAACAGTGTGTTTGATGCAGTTGGATATTTTGGGTAGAAGGGTAGGGACAAAGATCTAAGTTTTCTGTGTGGATTTGCAAGAGCAGAGAAGATTGTAGTGGATATGAGTCCCAAGTGAGCTCAAAACATCAGGCTGTAAATCCACAAGTGACCACAGTACATAAAATTCCTAGAAAAGTCACAAAGATCTTGAGGAGGCTGCTGAACTTTCCACAGACCGTGGGATATGGGTTGTGCTTTTTAAATGTTGTGTTTACTCTTTAATTTCAAAGAGCAAAGTGACTTCGTTGACCATGGACTGTATTAAACTCCATGAAGCTGAAAGGGGCTGTGGATTAAAAGGGTGAGCAGAAATGTTGTGAGAGTTACTACTGCAGCTCCAGGGCTCAAATGATCCTCTCGGTTCAGCCTCCTGAGTAGCTAGGACTATAGGCGTGTGCCACCGTGCCCAGCCTGTTGGATGTAGTGCACAGATCATGTTTTCTTTATGCGTTCAGCAGACATTGATTGGGCCAGACACTGTTCTGAAAAATACGCAGTCGACTCTTGAACAACACAGGCTTGAACTGCACGCTTCCACTAATACTCAGACTTCCTTCTGCCTTTGCCACCCCTAAGAAAGCAAGACCAACCCCTCCTGTTCCTCAGCCTACTTGGTGTGATGATGGTGAGGATGAAGACCTTTATGAGGAAAGACCTTCAAAAACATATACCTTCACATTAGGAAGTAAACTTAATTAAATTCATTGAAAACCTTTTTTTCCCCCCTCAGGGACTCTAGAAAGGTCCCTGACTCTAGGGCTGAGAAGCTCGAAGAAGAAATGTTTATTCCCGAGAGGGAACCTAGATAAAGAATTCAGGATTTCTTCCTTTCTTTCTTTCCCTTTCTTTCTTTCCCTTTCTTTCTTTCTTTCTTTCTTTCTTTCTTTCTTTCTTTCTTTCTTTCTTTCTTTCTTCTTTCTTTCTTTTCTTTCTTTTCTTTCTTTCTTTCCTTCTTTAGATGGAGTTTGCTCTTGCTGCCTAGGCTGGAGTGCAATGGCACGATCTTGGCTCACTGCAACCTCTGCCTCCTGGGTTCAAGCAATTCTCCCACCTCAGCCTCCTGAGTAGCTGGGATTACAGGCATCCACCCCCCTGCCCAGATAATTTTTTTTATTTTTGTATTTTTAGTAGAGACAGGGTTTCACCGTGTTAGCCAGGCTGGGGTCTTGAACTCCTGATCTCAGGTGATCCACCCGCCTTGGCCTCCCAAAGTGCTGGGATTACGGGCATAAGCCATTGGACCTAGCCCAGGGTGGCTTTCTTCCAGCAGCTCCAGGAGTGTAGCTCTGAAACAGATGTGCAAAAAAAAAAAAAAAAAAGGGAAAAGCAGGAAGCAAATAGGAAGTTGTCATGGTCCAGCCCTTTGAGGTATGGCTTTTGTCCCCCACCACCCATCAAAGTGATATGGTTTGGCTTTGAGCTCACCCAAATCTCATCTCAAATTGTGATCAGAATTGTATCCCCATGTGTCAGGAGAGGGACCTGGTCAGAGGTGATTGGATCACAGGGGCAGTTTCCCCCATGCTGTTCTCATGATAGTGAGAGAGTTCTAATGAAATCTGATGGTTTATAAGGGGCTCTCCCCGCTTCACTCTCTCTCTCCTGCTGCGGTGTGAAGAAGGTGCCTGAGTCCCCTTTGCCTTCCTTCATAATTATAAGTTTCCGGAGGCCTCCCCAGGCATGCAGAACTGTGAGTCAATTAAACCTCTTTCCTTTATAAATTACCCAGTCTCAGGTAGTATTTTTATAGCAGTGCAAAAATGGACTAATACACAGAGTACCTAAAGGAGGGGTTGCCAATGCCTTATTCCTACCTGATTCTTGTTATGGATCCTAAGCTCCTGGCCCTGGCCTACTGGCTTGTTTCATCTTCCTTCTGTCTCCTTCCACCCTGTAATGAGCTAAATGTCCCCCAAAAGATATGTCCACATCCTGATTCCTAGAACCCACGAAGCTGGCCTTACTTGGAAAAGAAGTCTTTCCAGATATAGTTAAATTAAGGATCTTGAAATGAGGAAATGATTTTGGATTATCCTGGTGAGCCCTAAATTCAATAGCAAATATCCTTAAAAGAGACGCATAGAGAATAGAAGGCCGTGTGAAGACAGAGGAGGATATTGGAGAGATCCAGACACAGGCCTATGAATGCTGATGGCCACCAGAAGCTGGAGGAAGCAAGGAAGAATGCTCCCCTGGAGTCTCTGAAGGGGACGTGGCCCTGCCAACACCTTGTTTTCGGGCTTCTGCCCTCCAGGACTGTGAGAAACAAATCTCTGTTAAATCACAAAGTTTGTGTTATTTGTTACTGCAACCATAGGAAACTAACGTGTATCCTAACTCTTTTCCCTGCCCATCCTTCCTCCATTACCTTTTTCCTGCTTCCTGGGCTTGGTCCTCAGCCCCTGTTTGGGTTCTCAGCCTTGCAGGTAAGCCACCTGCAGCTTCACTGGGTCTGTGCCTTTCTCACGATGGATAAGCCCTGCAGCTGCCTAGCCTGGTGCTCTACTCGCCCCATCTCTTCTCTGATCTCCCTTTGGGGAATCACAACTGACCAGGCCCCCTGTCCCACAAGGAACACCGGAAGCCAGAATGAACTGAAAAAGCACAGCAAAATGGGCTCTTTTCATCAAATGTGTGGCAGAAAGGGCGTCCACGCAACAAATGCTTTACCCTCTATGTGTGACTCAGAGAAGGTAGACACACACTTAACTCTTGTTTACAGCTTCTCTAATTAGGAGCTATTTAAGTGCAATGGATAAGAGAGCGCTTGTGTGGAGGTTCTGGCAGAGGCTGTGGCATCTGGAGTGTCTGTCCTTCTCATTGTAGAAAGACCATTCGGCCAGGCATGGTGGCTCGCATCTGTAATCCCAGCACTTGGGAGGCCAAGGCGGTTGGATCACCTGAGGTCAGGCATTCAAGACCAGTCTGGCCAACATGG